TGAAGTGGATTGTCAAGCAAACACTTCCATACAGGTGGAAAGCTATTGCATAAGAGATTAGTACTATTTTCCTTTTTTCTAACGACGTTTTTCTATTTCTTAATACACTGGATATCTTTTGGGATCCATCTTTGGCTATCTCAATGCAACACCGGCTTTCGATGTCGTAATTTCCAACTTCTTTTACACCCTGTCAGATATTTAAATTTTTGTACTTGTTTGATTTCACAAATATAAAAAGGGTCAAGCTCACAAATATTTCAATGAGAGATACATTCAATGCCGAAAAGATGAAAGAGAAAATCTTCCTAATTTGAGAAACATAATTCCTCCACATCATAGATAATGAGACAATTTGATTATTTTTTTTAACGAAATACGCGTTTCGCCAGAGAAAGCGTATGCTCTCTTTGACATCTTCAGGTCCACTGAAATAAATACAAAAACATACAGTGTGTGTAGAACATTCCTTGGGATCTCTGAGATTAAGTGGGTATCATGGAACAAATTTATTACCCTAGCTTATCACCAACTAAAACGAAAGGGGCTCTAATACATATATATGGCTCCGTTAGTGTGTATGTAGGTACACGTATGTAGGTATGTATATACGTGTATATGTATATGTGTATACGAGTATATATGTGCATATATGTATGTATAATAAGAAATGAAAAAGTAAAAATGCAAGTATAAAAACCGTGATTTAAAATCATGCAATACCAAACGGGTCAAATACTGATATAGTTAAAAGAAACAAGCACAGAGGCGAAGAGACACTTCATAACTGAAATAAGGAGATGAAAGCTCTTGTTTCGGCTCTTTTATACATCCTATAAAGCATACACGTACGTGTATATATATATATATATATATATATATATATATATATATATATATATATATATATATATATGTACCAGCGGACGCGTGTGAGGGTGGTATTTTGCTTGTTTGCTTGTTTGTTTGTTTGTGTGTTTCCGTATGTATGCATGTATTTACGTATGCATAGATAGATAGATAGATAGATAGATAGATAGATAGATAGATAGATAGAAAATTCTATATTCAGTATTCGGGAATGAGGAATGTCTCCCTTCCAACAACAAAACCGCTTGGAATAAAGACATTTGAAAAGCACTTGTTCGCATAAATAAAAATCATTTCAGAACTCAAGTGATGTACCTTCTCAGTTCCTTAACATATGTTTCTCTTTCTCTGTATATCTCTCATATATATATATATATATATATATATATATATATATATATATATATATATATATATATATATTATGATTAACATTCTTTTTATAGATACAGATATTTAAGTAAATGCTCTGTTTATAATAAACAGTATTAAATAACATTTATTAGCCTGAATGTCCTAGAAATCTTCATAGAAAATATTCGTCATCCGAGATGATTCGAACATGTATCATATACGGAACAATCATATAGCCTGACGTGCTTTTACCGATTTCGCCGCAGAGGATCGATCTGTTAGCAAGGTCGAATTTACTGCTTTTAAACTTCAATCATCCATAAATCTCTCACGTACATTCATATCTGCTCAATGCGTATCCAAATGTAAACAAATGACATCAGACATTAAACAAATTCCGACAATTATTTTAAGACATTATTATGTTTAACATTCTTTTTTATGTTTTATTATAAACAGAGCATTTACTTAATTATTTTTATCTATAAAAAGAATATTAAACACAAAAGTCTCTTAAAATAATTGCCGGACTTTGTCCATTTCATAATTTGTGACGTCATATATATATATATATATATATATATATATATAATTATTATTATTATTTAAAGTACCCTGTCAATATCAATTGCAGTTTATTGTACCATTCTCTCCTAGAGAATGATATTGATTAATTCTTCAATACAAAATCAGAATTCTGGATTAATTATCATACATAACTTACTCAGTATAACATAAGCACAAAGATATTTAGATTTTCCGAGGAGTGTTTATGGAACATTGAAAATAAATTCCCTTGCCTTATGTGGCAGAGTCTACAACGCTTACTCTTGCAAACGACTAACATCCAATCATATGCAAATAAGGAAGACTATAATTCTGTCAGAAAAAAAGATCATGACTTCTCTAAGGTGTTTTCTTTTTAAACTAATATTTTTAAATAATGTTCACGCAATACAAGACACAAAAGCCACTCAGGGTAGAGGTTTACTGTCTGGTGCGGCAGATTTTTCACGGATCTGGAATCCCAAATTTAAACAGGTATCAAGGGATAAACGACAACTTCTGTTAAAAACAGTAGAGGAGAGATGTGAACCGGACGATAGCCGAACCAATCTTGTCCTATTTCTTAGTAATATTTATTCATTATACAAGATAGAATGAAATGTTATGACATACATTATTTTGGATGTTCTAATTTTTTGTGACAGTATTAATTCTTCTGTAGTCTGTGGCTACTGCAGTGACACCTTGATCACCTCTGCCACCTCAGTCTAGTGCTGTTGATCATATCTCCTGATATGTAAGCAGTGTTCAATGTTATCCCTTTACTGGTTTGGAAATCTTTGTTTCAGTAATTTCATGTTAGGTTTATCACCATACACATAGTGTTGGCTTAGGAGAAAATGGAAAAGGGCCTGATATCCCGACACAAGTGCAAGTAAGGTTTATATAAAATCACGTTGAAATGAAGAATTTCCTTCAGAAAGTGTTTTTACTAATACCACATTCAAACCAAGAAATTGTACCTACGTGATATGGTCTCTATTAGGAAGTTTTCTTTCGAGAGTGAATGCACCAGAATGCCATATGAAACAATGATATGGCATCAAGAAATGGATTCTCTTTAACTGAGTGAATCCTAATTTCATGAAGTAAAATACATTTTTTCTTTTCCATAAAAGAAACATTGACAGCATATAGTTACTCTATCGATAATCCCATAAGAAATATGCGGGAAAATTAAATTCCTTAGATCTATCAGTTTAGGCTTTAAATCCAGGACTATCCCTATGAGGTAGGCAAAGTTTAATCCTCTTTATTCTCTTTGCTTTCTATTGGTAAGCAGTAAATTCATTTCATTTATCTTCTTCTCAATAACACTTGTTTTGTGGAAAAAAACTCCTGAGAATTTGCTTCCCTGATCCTTCTGATACCAACCTCTTCAAATCAAGGTTCAATCATTATCCGTTCTATATATCCTCCTGATCTGCATTTTATGCTTCTCCCTCTGACGCCCAAACAATAAACTTTATTTAATAATATCTATCTTATTATTCTTGGGTAACGCGTCCATGAACAAATATACACCTACTTTGCACGTACTATGTGTCATATAATCTTATTAAGAATTATAGCTTGATAATTTCTCCTTATACAATGACTACACTATTTACATTATTCAGATTATTGTCCTCATCTTTGTTGCCATATTTATCACAACGTTTCTGGCCTTGTACGCTCTGGCATTCTTCAGGCTGTTGGAGTGTCGAACTGAACCTTTATTTTGCTCACTGGGGCAGACTGTTCTAGTTCTACGTGCCATGTTCAATGGATGTCAGTTATCAGTTATCTCCTGCTTAATTCCCGCTCCATGTTCTCCACACTTTTTGGGTCCTGTCACTGGATCCAACTAACGTCATTATCCACTGTGCCAGGTTGTGATAATTATGGCGACAAAGAGGAGGACAATAGTCCGAATAATGTAAATAATGTATATAATACCTCATCTCAGAAATATAGACAGATGCAATGAGTAATTCTTCTTTTTCATCTTTGTGTCGCGTTCCTTAAGGTCATAAGTGATTATGACTCTCTACGAATTACTTGCTGATTATGTCTCTCTACATATTACTTGCTATCATTTGTTTTTTCGCTTCCTTTGCTAAGGATCCTCTTCGTTCCGGCACCAGTTCATACAAACGCATCAGGTAAGCAGATAGATGCCTTCCCTTATATATATATATATATATATATATATATATATATATATATATATATATATATATATATATATATATAATAGATCCAATAAGAGACATTTCCCAAATCCTTCATTCTCATTATGCGCCCAGGGAATTTCAGCCGTCGTTTCCTGCTACTGAGTGGAAATGTCCATTTTCTTGCAATTTTCTTTAAAACTTTCATGTTGATTATCTGCTTCATTCGTGGAATGTTCCTTATCCTTCTGTAGACCCAGATTTCTGTGAACTCTATTTTTATCCTCATCCCGGGTGTGATTGTCAAAATATTGACTGTCATATAATAGGATGTATAACACTATTTACTTTATTTCTAACGGAATCTGACGTATCTCAGCCCCATGTGTAGTATGTGAAATGTTTCTTTCTCTTGTCCAATGAATGTTTTGATATCGGTGTCATGTCTTCCATCTTCTGTTACATAGGCTTCCAATAAAATTCCATAATAATTCGGTTTCTTTTTTCTAAGAACTTCCTCTTGTCTATATCATTTCAAGTGTGTAATTCATCTGATAGATTTTCAAAAGCAAACCCAGCGGCATCTTGTAAAGTTATTCAAATTAAAAATATGAAATTGTCCGAAATGTTATGTGACTTAATTGAAGACTTTAATATACGTCCACATTTCACGCATTAAAATAAAATTTTCTGTATTTTGACGGGTCACTATCAGAAATAGAGCATTTTGTTCACAATGTTCGTATCTATTTATCTCACAATGATATTTCATCAAATTTTGGAACAGAAAAGCCCATTCCTTAAATATGACACGACAACACCAAATCAGGCGTAAAAAGATGACACATTAAATACTCGATTTGACGCACGACATATTCATTAAACTGACAACTCATAAAAATTAGAGTCAAAACATTATCCACAAAACCGTTTAATAATGGCTTGCGAAATCTGAAATGTGTTAAACATAGTAAATCATTAAAACAGTGGATATATTTTAAAATGTACAAGTAAAAATGTTCAACAGAAATATTTATTTTTCCTTTAACCAAGCGTATGTTAAGAAAATCAAATCGCAGTCTACTACCGGCCTGTCTGTCTATCTCTGTCTCTGTCTCTGTCTCTGTCTCTCTCCATCTATCTATCTATCTATTTTGCTATTATCTATCTATCTATTTATGCCCATTTTCTTTCTTTCTTTCTTTCTTTCTTTCTATCTATCTATCTATCTATCTATCTATTGCTAATGTTAATAATTTTAACAAACAAAATAAATTTTGCTTCATTTAGAATTACCTTTGTGTGCGCTCAGTCTCTGCAGTTGATATTTGATGAGAAGCGTTGAGCTTAACATCATGAAATGGTGACTGCGATGGCAGGCAACGACTCAAGGATAAAACATGATAAATTCTGCAGCGTCATCGTCAATGCAATCTATTCAGTTCTTCATGGTGACTGTAGGAATTCTCCTATACATGTTTGGCACAAAGACCAACCTAATTCGACCTCAGGAAAACTTGAATAGACAACAAAACAAAGGTAAATCGTGCCGGAAACATAATATCCTGGAATATAAATCCTTTACCAAGGCAAGGAAGCCTTTTTGTCCCAGCCAATTCCAGGGATGGAAAAACATGAACAAAAGAAATTCCGGCAAATCCAATGTTCACCACATCTTAACTGGGAAAATGCAAGTGAACTTTCAATTTCCACAGGAGCATCGAACTCTGCTTCTTTATGGTAAATCTACAAAGACAAAAAGGACTTGATCCTTGACTCTTAAGGGATTTTTGGTTGACATATATATATATATATATATATATATATATATATATATATATATATATATATATATGCTAAAATAGGGTTCCATTGCTACACATGAATTACCATGTTTCAAGAACAGAAGCTAAAAACTTCAAATTCAATTACAGAATTAAAGTAAAGTCCCTAATTCTGTTTCATTTTCAAGCGAATTATAGAATAACATTTTGAAATTTACTGAGTTTTATAAGCATATACATTCACAATATTAGTTACTAAGGATATGGTGAAATCTAATCATTTTAACAAGGGCATTTTGTTCCAGTCTTATATTTGTTGAACGAGTGTTCTAAGCCCGAAGAGTCTATTATTTTTTGTCACTTTCTTTGAGAGGACATGCAAGGTTGGTTTGTTCGAGAGGACATGCAAGGTTGGTTTGTTCGAGATGACATGCAAAGTGGGTTTGTTTTCGGAGTTACCTTCTTCTAACCTAGATTTTTTTTTCTTCTCTTAGACTGTGAATTAATTCTGCCTTTTATCCATAGCTGGTGGGCAAAAGATGGATTCATATATTTTCCAAGGGCATTAGAACGAAGCTGAATGCAATGAACTCGACTGGAATTTGAACACGGCTCTCCGATTCCTCTTATCGAGTCGCTATCCGATACTGCACCGGTCCTTCACTTATGAATAGATTACCCAAAAGTAGTCTTTCAAAATTGTTATCATATTAGCCGATACAAAACTTGCAATATTTCTGACAATATAATTTACATTTAAAGAATATTCAGGTAACTCACCTGCCGTAACACGTTAATTAACAAAGAGTGAAACGAAGGGATTAAGCATAAGATACAAAAAGATGGAGTGCATAGTCGTCACAAAGAGGATGAGCCCGAAATGGTGTCTGATGTTTGGGAACAGTAGAATTAAGCTGACGCGGAAGTTCAAATACCTGGGAAGCGTCTTGACAGAGGACGGTAAGTGCGACACTGAGATCCGTAGGCGTAGTGGGATGGCAAGGGACACTTTCCAAAAGCTAGGGAGAGTACTGCGAGACAGGAGGATATGATTGGTAAGAAAGAAAAGAATACTGAACTGTTACGTGACATCCGTCCTTCTTTACGGCAACGAATGTTGGACGATTTCCTCAAAGATGAAGAAGAGACTCGAGACGACAGTGATGTGGTTCTACAGAAGGATGCTGAGTATATCATGGACCGAGTGTGTGAGCAACGATGAGATCTTAGAAACGTTGCAAACAAAGAGGAGGCTTATACTTAATATCGGGAAAAAGCAAGCTGAAGTTACTGGGACACATAATGAGGAAAGAGAGCTTGGAGGATTTGATTCTCACGGGGCGAATAGAAGGAAAGAGAGAAAAGGAAATCAACGAGTGACATACCTGGCGGACTTAAGCAAGTGGATGACAGAACGTGGACTCGGGGAGAAAGCAGAAGGAAGGAACTGCCAGGGATAGCGGGAGGTGGAGAACCAAGATCGCCGACGTCTGGAAAGGACATGACACATAAAAAGAAAGTAAGAACTATCCCTGGCTTACGCCGTGATTGATTAAAAGTATAGGTTAAACACCAATGAAACATTTATAGAGAATGAACAATCATATGATAAGCAAGTTATTTCAGTTAACATAGCTTCCAACGAATGTCCTGCTATGGTGACCTTCATCCTCTCAAATGTCTCCCCACCTAGCTTGCGTTAAATTGATAGTTCGCAAGCTACTCTCACAAGATAGTGCCCACTGACAGTGTAATTAAATATTTTATCAATTCATGAAAGAATATTGGTTTCAGGACGTGATTTTACTTGGAAAATATTGCATGTTAAACTGCAGGCGATGTAATTAAAAATAGTGAAATTTAGCGTGGAATTTTTTTGTAATTATGAACTCTTTTGTAGTGTCGGGCAGTTGGAGCAGATGGCCAAACTACATCAATCACACACACGCACACACACAGATATTCATTTTTGTATTTTTTTATTTGCCTAGAAGAAATTGCTTCAGGGAAAGCAGTGAAATTGTCTACTACTTAGATTAATGTGGATTGGCATATTTAAACAAAGAAATTATTTGTTTCAATCGAACATGTGGCTCTGAGAATTTTAATTAAAACTATCAAACGAAATAGCTAGGAAATGATTACGAATGACTTGCCGTTCCTTCTCTCTCATTATGGTCAAAATTATTAGCAGTAGAACTTTAAAAAAAAATGAGGCGGATATAATTTAATAAGAATTCATCTTACATTTATTTAAAAAAATATCTCTGTTTTAATTTAGTTCTTATTTTACCCTTGCTTTCTATTTCGCTTCATTTTCTTTTCGTATTTCTATTCCATCATTTTTTCTTTTAATTTTATGTTAACGTTCGTTTTCTCACTTCAGCTATCATAGATTTATTTCATATTTTTTCTTTCTCCTAATTCGTTTTATTATCATTATTATTATTATTATTATTATTATTATTATTATTATTATTATTTATTCATAGTAATTCACTTTTATTTTTCTCTTATGTTTGAAATTCTCATTTTAAAATTAGTTTTTAAATTATTTCTTCCTTTTATTGCTTTCATCCCTGGTTGCTTTCGTGCTTCTTTTCTGTTTCCGCTCTATTTGCTTCATAGCAGATTACATTTTTTTTTTGCACATATCTTTTTTATATCCACCCACATCTTGCTCTTCACTTTTTTTTTCAAGTTATTTTTTCGTTACTATTATCCATTAGTTTTTTTTTTCTTCTGATTAATTCTACTTCTGTCATCTTCACACGTTAAAAGCCTTTGCTTCCGAGGCCATGTAGCTTTAGCTGTTTCTTTCCAGTTCATTCAGCGAAACTATAGGATGTGATAAACATTTAAAGTGGGTAGGATGAAAGATTGCTTGGGCATGCATAGGAGGCAAACCATACTTACATCCTCATCAATATATCTATATATGGGTATATGTAACACACGCAAATCTATAAGCACGAACATACAAAAAACATCCGAACAATACAAGCATGCACAAATATATATGTATACTGCATGTATTTGCCTCCGTTTGTATATCAAAGACATTAGATTTGTCCTAGGCATGAAGTTAAACTACATCTAGCTGCAATGCCTGTAATGGGATAAATTGGTATTTTTACGGAGCGTGGACCTACTGCTTAATAGCTCGTAAATTCATGATGTGGTTCTATGAGAGAACGAAATATTAACAACAGAACTATATTTTTAAATGCAATGTAATGTGTTGTGACTAGTTTGAAATGTAATTTTATTGGCTCATGTGAGTCGAAATCTTAGATCAATGGACAACATAATAAAAAATATCCACATATCTATCTATCTATGTATCTATGTATCTATCTATCTATCTATCTATCTATTCTAGTCTATTTATATCTATCTATCTATCTATTCTAGTCTATTTATATCTATCTATCTATCTATTCTAGTTTATTAATATCTATCTATCTATCTATTCTAGTCTTTTGATATCTATCTATCTATTCTAGTCTATTGATATCTATCTATCTATATATTCTAGTTTATTTATATCTATCTATCTATCTATCTATCTATTCTAGTCTTTTGATATCTATCTATCTATTTATCTATTCTAGTCTTTTGATATCTATCTATCTATTTATCTATTCTAGTCTATTGATATCTATCTATCTATCTATCTATTATAGTCTATTGATTTCAATCTATCTATCTATCCTAGTTTATTGATATCTTTCTATCTATCTATCTATTCTAGTCTATTGATATCTATCTATCTATTCTAGTCTATTGATATCTATCTATCTATCTATCTATTATAGTCTATTGATATCTATCTATCTATCTATCTATCTATTCTAGTCTATTAAATATCTATCTATCTATTCTAGTCTATTAAATATCTATCTATCTATCTATTCTAGTCTATTAAATATCTATCTATCTATCTATTCTAGTCTATTAAATATCTATCTATCTATCTATCTATCTATCTATCTATCTATCTCTTCTAGTCTATTGATATCTATCTATCTATCTATCTATCTATCTCTTTGTCTTTTTGCTTGCTTGTTTTTGGGGGGATTTTTGTCTAGTATTAGTTTACTTGGCATTAGTTTGGTTTGGCTGTTTTTGTCTCGCGGGATATCAACTTGTATTGTTTATTTAATACCTAAATCTATATAGGAAAATTCGAACATTTAAATTATTCATGAGAATGACATTATTTCTTGATTAAATATTATTTACTTAATTCAGACCCTAACAGGTGATACCACCCCGGGTTATGTTTAACCTGGGAACAACAGTATTTAAGAATTGGTTATTCCCATCTTTTGAACGGAGAGATTGCTCCTGGTCATGGTTTATCATCATACCTGAGACTGGATACTGGAAAATTCTTGCACAGATGAAGACGTGACTTGAAGTCACATACTAGTGAAGGTACAGAAAAATATTACAAATACCATATAGTGATTATATGTGCAAAAATGAAGTATTATGGAAAATAGATACCAAAAAGCATTTGACCTTAGAATAAGGAAAGATTTTACGTTTCTGGGAAAAATAAAGAGAATTTTCATTCACAGTCCGTATTGAATTCAGAAAGAAAAAAAATGATATATTTAATGAGTTTCTCTAAATGGATAACAGAACAGTTAGTGAGAGGGATTGCAAAGGAAGAAACATTGATTAGATAGAAGATTTTTTTACTAACTTTCACGAATTCCGAAGGGCCACTCAAAGTAGAAAGTTATTAAATGAGATTGTTTTTGTGGAGTGAAAATGAAAATAAAAATAACGGCATTTTCTTGTATAGAAAAGACCATGCCTGAGGTGTGAGCTACACACCAAGACAAGTTCGTTCGTTTGCAGGGACTAAAGGACTTATCGGGTGAAGTGGAGTTACATAGAATGTTCGTACAGAGAGACATGGCCGTCGGCGGCCTGAAGGGACAAGTAATAAGCATAGGTTACCTCCAAAAGAACAACGTAAGAATTTAATTCCTATTGAAATGGAATTAACAGACAAAAATTAGAATTATCATATTTAAAGTTTAGTCATGCAGAATGACCCCTGTTTTCTGAAACAAACTTCAACATAGATGCGCAATCAAACTAAGATACCCATGATCTATTTTTCTGGTCTTAATTTCAGATATGCTTTAATGGATAGGAAACAAAATGTTTCATCCTCCGGTGATTCATTAGTGTAATTGGTTTTTCCTTTTCTTGTGATTATGGCCTCTCCCACACTGTTCTCATTTCTTTGATCACTTTCTGAATTGGTTGATTTTTTTTTTTTTTTGTAAACATTTCTTTTTCTTCCTCAGTTGCATTCTTTTCAGTGGTGTCAGTGAGAACAGTTGATTTCTTTATCGACTTGGCCTTCACTTGAAGGACATCAGGTGTTGCTTGGGGTAAATGGAAAACTCGTTTGAAAGCGAATGATGAAAGCTTTAATTTACTCATTTTATTGAACTTATTTTTCTCATAATTGATAGTTATAGATGTTATATAGAAACAACGTATCACTCAATATATTCTTTTGTCATCGTCAAGCATCATTTATCTGTGTTGATAGGAAATACAGCTAATTTTTACGTAACTATTATACCACACAGAACAGATGAATAAACAATTAAAATATATGTTAATATTAAGTACGCAAGGCTCAAGAAAGTGGTCAGTTTGTGCTTGAACGGAGTTTATTTGGCTACCTCTCAATTTCTTTCTGATTTTCTTTAATATTTAAGATTCAAAAGAAATTTCCTTTATATATTTACATTATTTATCTGACTAAAACCTTTATCTTTCTTCTCGAGATGACAATGTTTTCACCATTCTTTTCGCCTTTATTTTAGTTATCTGCTAGTCTGGGAAACTCTCTGGGAATAACAAACCAAACATTTTTTTCAATGTAAAGGGATAGATTATGCTCATTTTCCTGTTAATATCTAGACGTATCCCATTTTGTCAAGGGAGATTCGGTTTTGTCTAGGGATATACCATTTTGTTTATATTGTTCTTCTTCATTAAACTAAGTTTAATATATATCCTATTCCAGCCGCGAATTATCTTACGATTAATAAAGGACCAAATACATTAACGCTTGTTTTAAGCATCCGTACGGTAGAAGTTAAAATTATTCTTTTTCGTACATATTCTTCAGTTGAATAATGTGTTCCGTTCTAAACGCCCTCAATGTTAACGATCAACAAACCCCTGAAGAAATCTGGACAGCAGAACGCCCGAAACGTCATTGAAACACTAAAGTTGACGCATTTGAACTGACTTTACGTAATGTAAAATATTCAATTTATTTGTTTTATTTCATCAATTCAAAATTTCCTTGATATAGATTTAATTTTCGACAACGGTTCGACAAAATAAATTCTATACAACTTCTCGTACCCATTTATTAGCTTATACATGATAAATTGAACGAACTGATTTGTATGTTACTATGGCCCTATAGTCGATATTCTTGTTTGTTCCTTCTAAACTAATAACGTTTCTTGCTGCTTTTTACAGTCGTGTATATTAGCACGAACCGCACGTTAAGGCATGAGATATGGATATATCGTCAAAAATGAAATTATTATTTACTCGGGTGAAAAAATACCAGTAGAATGTTTTATGATTACGGAACATGTGAATCAAACTTAGAAGAAAAAAGTGGAAACCTTTCTTCGCAAAATAAACTAACACTGGCGCCATCTCGTGACGGAAACAAAAATGAAACAAGCGATGCAACCTACTGCGTGTATCATCCATCACAGAACCATCCACTACATGTAACCGCATATGCATAATCATTGAATATTTATGTGTATAAAAATAGCTTAAATTAAATCATTGCAGATATCTTTGCATAATGTGTATGTATATGCGTAGATCTTGTTTCAAAATATCACTTCTTTTCCTCGAAAACTTCTCTGTTCGCGATGAGATTTATTTGAGTATGCGCTGATAATAAAAAGCGACATTTTTTTTATTTATCCGCTTTTGCTGAGAACAACAGATCCGAAAGCATTTCCAGCCTGAGTGTTCAATTGCGCTGGAGATTTCTTTTGCCTTCATAACACTAGGATCTTCTCTTTTTTTTTTTGTTTCAAATAAGCCTTTCCATTATTTACCATTTGGCGTTTAGGTTTTCTTATATCAGCGTGCGTTTCCATTTTACATTCCACGTTTTATATTGCTCCTGAATTTTCCATACATCTCCCATTCTTTTCATTCTTGTTTTACTGTGCATTTTTAATAATAGATTTTGTTTCGGCGTGTGTGTGTGTGTTTTTTTTTATATATGTTCTCTTTGTGTCATTATTTTTTTTATATTTCTGTACCCAAATAAAATTGATATTTTTTGCGCATTAACTTTTATATTTCTGCGTTTTTTTTTCTTTTAGTTCTTTTTTTTTCTTACGTCTTTCATTTTTTTTAATCGATTTTTAACATTCTTTCTATCTCATTTTATTCTTTCTTTTTTTTTCCTCCGTCTTCTCTATTTTTTCATCTCAACAATACTTTTTGCGTTTTCTTTTCCTTTACGACATTTTCCTTCAAGTCCATTTGATATGTTATTCTTTCACTGTACACATAATTCTTATTCTTTCTGCTGTTCAGATATCGTAAGCTTTTTGCTTTTAAGATTTAATAAAGAAATCAGTTTGCGAAAGAGTGTTATGAAATCACCTGGTGGCCAAAAAAAGTGCTGCGCCTCTTAAGAGTAAAGGCGGTCTTAATTTATTTAGCCTGAAATGCCAAAATGGTCTTAAGGCATAGAGCTGCCCTGGTAGACCGCAGGTTAAAAGCTGAAGTAGTGTGAAATCACCCGATAAATTAAGAGTCTCTATAGCAGGAAATCTAGCAAGGAATTCAAGATATTAGGTGTAATGGTATTTTTTTTTTAAATCAGGTAGCGATTCAAGAAAACATAAAAAAAGTGAATTCGAATCGATTCTTATTCACAATACATCTCCGATTCAAGGATCTGACCAATTTAGTTTTCCTTTAATATATGTAGATTTGAAGCAAGAGAAATGCAGTTCTACAGAAAGATGTTGAGGGTGTCATATCCGAACATGTGAGCAATGAGGAAGGTTTATAGAAATGGAAACAAAAAATAATCAAAAATTAACTTATGATTAACATCAGGCAGGGACAGTTGAAATTCTATAGAGAATGATGAGTAATTGAGGTTTTAGAAAAATTGATACACACCGGACAGATTAGAAGAAATAGGGACAGAGCAAAAGAACGCATAAATTACTTAGTGAGATTAATAAGGATTAAGTCAGATAACGAGAAGATAAAATTTATTAGGAATTACAAAATGCAGGGAATTGTAGTCAGCCATGATCGCCAACGTCTTAATAGGAAACGGCACATACAAGAATATTTGAATTGATATAATTTTTTTTTGTAAGCTTATCGAATAATTTCTTTTTTATCTTTTCCACAATTTTCTATTCAGAATTATATATTTCTTTAGTAGATGTTAACACAGTCAGAAAAGTCGGGATACGCCATATTTTTCGTTGGGCAGAAGAAAGTGAAATGGAATCTTTCTTTCTGAAAGGGTCTTAATATGAAATGAACAATAATTCTCGAATCTCGAATGAGCAGCTCTGGGCGTTGATTTTATTTTCCATTGTGATAACCCTTTTTAGCGCATTGGTAAAAATGATGCAAATAAAGAATTGCAGACTTTAACAAACTTCTAGACATTCATTAATTCCCCAAAACAAAACGGTAATGACGAAAGCAAAATTTACGCAAATTGCAAAAGAGGAATAATAAAGTAGTATTAATTAGGAAGTCATTAGTCGCTTGGAAAAAAAGAGACCGCAAATCGATAAGTTTTTAAACCTTAAAAATTTCGACAAATACAGTGTTTGAGAGTCAGTTATGTTAGAGTTATACACTGAATAAAAAGGAAATCTTGAATGTGGTATGTGATATGAATGGAAGGAAAATAGTAAAAAATGAAGATTATTAGCATGTGGAGCTCAGATTACTATTAAAACTTGAAATCAAAATGTCAATATTAAAGCTTACAAGTAAGAAAACCTGTGGGAGTAATTTTGATACAGCTCGCCGAGCAGAATTTTCTTCTCGCATTAATAAGATGAAGTAAATGCATACGATTTGAATACATGTAAGTAGCATAGCGTGTTCTAGCTGTAAAGGTCAGAATGGGTAGACTTATAAAATTGTTCTAATCGCAATATTTCCATGGAAATAATGACACAGTTATGCCAAGGAGTGTGATTGTAGTGTCTTTGAGATAACTGCACAAAAACTTACATCTCAGGAATAACAACACACTCAATATAAACCGAGACTGCACAATCAATGGCTGATTCGTTTCTCACCGGTTCTCATATGATCACTAGTAAAATCTCGTAAGATCTCGGTAAGGTCGTAAGATCTCGTAAGGCCGTAAGTGATCTCGTAAGTTCACAAAAATTAAGCACATTCATGCCTTTTCAGTAGCTAGATGGATGACCGCTTGGGAATAAATATTAGTGTGAGCAAAGGTCTGTGGGTAGTACATGACTCGTTTTGAAAATTGGAGAACCGAATTCCATTTCCAATCAGGTCCGTTATACTCACTTACCTCGGAAATACTCTTGGGAATGGTATGAATTAATCTCTTAATTACAAGATCAACATAAATTATATTTAATCTTGGTTTGTAAAATCCAAGATCGCATAAAAAATGTGGGTGATGATGGCATATATCATATTACAGAATGAACAAAGCTTTATCTAAAAGCCGATGTGAAATATGAAGGTGATGCTCAGATCGTTACTAATTGGAACGTTGGAAACTATTCAAATATTCCACTGAAGAAACTGCGACAATGGGAAATCCGAGAAAGAATCCAAATGACTCAGACCATGACGTCGTTAAACTTGGCAATATAAAGACAAATGCTGAGGTTAGTTTCGACTAGATCACCACTCACCCTTTAAAAATATGATATAATGGATATACAGATACAAATAAATTTGTTATATATATATATATATATATATATATATATATATATATATATATATATATATATATATCATGCATTCGGAATTAAGATACCATTTTGTGAATGGTCATTTTCACCTTGTATAATTACAAGAATTTTACAGGATTTTTTCAGTCAAGAAATGATAAAAGTTTGAAATAATAAAAAAACACAGACATAGGCTACTTATGGAAAGACGACTTATATTGTTTTGTTATTCATTCGATATCTATATATATTAAATATATAAAAATATATCATATTAAAGATGTATACATGTATATATATATACACACACACACACACACACACACGCACACACACACACACACACACACACACATATATATATATATATATATATATATATATATATATATATATATATATATATATATATATATATATATATTAAAGTTATGGTATGTTCGTGCAACTTATGGAAAGAGGACTTATATTGTCATGTTATTCATTCGACAGCCACACCAGAAGAGAATATTGTCTGGATCCTGATGATTATCTTTATCATGACGGCTGAAATTTTAAGTTGGTCTCCGGTAAGTATCCTGAACTTTTAAAAATTTTGTACTAATATTTGCAGAATACGAAGACAAAGAACCACTCATAGTTGATAGATACTGTGTGATGTTGTATGAGCATGAGAAAAGTCAAGATTTCAAGGTCACTCCTTGATCTTTTTAAGTCATTTTATCCCAAGACAGGCGTTGATACGACGAAGACGCAAGGGGCCTACTGAGAGGAAAGGAGAATGAGAAGACATTAGAATGAACTCGTAACTCAATTTTAAACAGGAAACATGGGATAACTGTCTACATCTGTTGCACAAAGGATAACGTTTAACTCTAGATTCCAAGAATGTAAGATTGTATTGATTCGGAATCTTTTCAATGGGATACGGTTACACAAAGCAGTAGTTCTTGGGAAGAAACTGTCCGAGCGGAACTTACTTCTTACTAATTGAATACGAAGCTAATGAGGTTGATTCCCCCTTAGGTATGTTGCATGTCATGTCCCAGTTTAAAAGGTCAGGGTTGGTCAAAATAACTACAATGGAAATAGCTATAGATTATTAAGAGTATCTTGACGTTTCGTCTGTGTAATCTTAGATAAAATCATTATTGGTGTATATATCTGTTCACCTATCTGTTCGAATTGGCAGTTATATATGTTTATATACAGCGACTATTGAGAATATTTTTATTAGTAGTATTATACTATAGGTTGTGGTAATAGCCATTTAACGTTCTTACTATTATGAATGGAATTACTATCATGATAAATCATCCTGGGTAATTGTCAACTAAAGAAAATAGTAATGTACGTGTGCAATATCTAGATGAGCATTGAATACTACTATCTTAACTGACTCTGTCGACTTAAGTGTTGTGCCTTGCCAGACTCTACATCACAACAATATATTTTCTTTTATGAGCCGGGTCCTTTCAGGACGTCTTCAATCATGTCTCGCTACTTCCCCATGTCCGTTGTAGTTTTCAGTGTTTTGTACTTTTGCTACATTTCTCTCATCTCGTTGCTTAATCCCGATAGGTATGCGATGGATTGCTTTCACTTGTCTCTCTTTCCATCTATCCGCCCTGTAAGTATGAGATTCTCTAAACCCACGTTTCTCTTTACGTCTCCCAGAAATTTCTACTGCCTCTTCCTGATGTTAAGTATAAGGTGTTTCCTCCTTGTTTCCATCCTCTACAAAACCTCATCGTTGCTCACATGTTCCGTCTATGGTATCCTTAGAATCTCCTCGAGGAGACCGTCCAACATTTACTGCTACGTATGCAATACAATTGTGATGAGGTCACTTAATAAAAAATATGCTAGTTTACTATGAAAGAGATCTATATAAAATAAAAATGAAAATAAACTGTAAAATCCTGTCTCAACATTCCTTAGTCCAGAATCAGAGGAACTGTGATATGACCAAAAAGGAGCGCGTTATTGAACACGACGTCAGTTGAATCTGAACGTGAGCCGCATGGTCTTGGAATTATATAATAAAAGAAAATAAAAATTGTACGTCGGGAGGGGTGTGTACAATTGTCCCGTCAGAGTGTTTATGCTGGAAAATGAGGAAATTAATCAGTCCCTGCAAAGCAACAGTAATGACAGAAATGAAAAACAGCTGAAATTCAGATAATTGCAAAAAGTAGGTAGAAAAAAGAAGAAAAGAAAAAAAAACACTACTTATGCTGAACAAATGTCGACCGCGAATACAACAGAGATAATTAAAAACACACTGAAATATTGTTGACATAGCCTTCTTTTTGCATATCTAATTGGCTCAATTTTCTTACATCAGCAGGAATTATTTAATAAACAACTTTCCTTGAAATATTTTTGTATGGCAGATTTCGATTTCCTTGTAAAGATCAATTTATACACTGGAAACATTTAATTTGGACGAATTTACTTCAAAATAGTTTTTAAAACGTCTATCTTATTAAATTTCTAGCTAGTATATCCAGTCAAATTAAACCTCAAAATAGGGGATTTCCTAAATATTACGAAAAGTTACTTAAAGCAACACATTTGAAAGTCTTAATATCACTCCAGACAACAGGATATACCTATATATTGTCCTTTGCTTTTTTGAAATAAAAAAAAATTGATTATATCGCTCCAGAATCACGTAGCAATTGTTTCAACAATTTACTTACACTATT